AAGGAACTTGCATCATTTGATTACCTGTAGGAACTTGGATCATTTGAGTACCTGTAGTACCAGCAAGTCGCAAAGGTGTGTTAACACTTCCCGCAACACTCAATGTTCCACCCGTGATCACACTTGTTGCTGGAGAAGGTCCAGGAACTGTAGCTGTAGTTGGGACAGTTGCTCCAATCTGATTAGGATTGAGCTTCTTCCTGTAATCAACATAGTATTTCGGATGCTTCCATTGAGTCTCTGGTAGCAGTCTGTCTGGACATTTTGGAGACATATGGTCCTCTTTGCCACATACATAACATGCTGCCTTTTTCTTTTCGTCCTTCGGTTTACCCTTTCCTTTACCTTTACCTTTAATTGGCTGGTCTTTTCCTTGGTACAGGTTCATTCCCGGATTCTTGATCACATCCATGTGAATCTTTAACATATCTTGTGCTTTGCTGACCGTCTTTGGATAATAATCCACTTCCCTGCAGTAATTTGTCTGAAGATCCAGCATCAGAGGAGCTGTTCTCGTTTGATCACAGTTGCACAGGAATCCTGTTGCAAGAACCGCTTCAAAGATATCATCCTTGAACTTGTCTCTAGCAGTAGTATCGGTGCTAGCAATAGCAGCATACGCTTTCGTCTTGACTGCAAAATTTCGGAACCAGGCAACGCCATATAGATCTTGAAGGACTTCAGCTTGTCTCAAGAATCGTTCCTTGAAATGCATCAAGTTTTCTGTTGTTCCTTGCTTCATAGCAAAGAACTTTTGATTGGCTTCCCAGAAATCCAAGAAGTCATACTCAGCATCAGCACTCTTCTTCATGAATTGTTCAATACGTTTCAAGAGTTCGATTGGATCTTCAAGAGTAGTCGTAAAATCGGCTTCACCTCGAAGCTTGATATCCATCGCCTTCGTCACAAACTTCAGCATGATGTTTGATTTGACAGTTCGCTTGTTCGTTTCGAAGTAGGCTGATCTTCGCATGTTCTCGTCGAGCTTTGCAGAATAGAGAATCTTGTTTTGAGTCATCTCTGTTTCTCTTGCAACAGCTTCAGTTTGAGTTGGAGCGTTCAATCTTGGAGCGATTGCATTGAAGTCGATCGACTTTCCATCTTGAATTGATTTCACCATGTCTTCGGAACATTTCATTCCAGAAGCTTGGATGTAGTCTCAGTCTAACACATACATATTCTCCACCCCACCTCGCGTGGGAGAGCCGATCGTCCCTTAACACTTTCGACTTGCGAGCAACGTTCCTCTATTGAACGCCTCCATGTGGTTCAAACTTTGTTGACCAAAAGCAACCTAGTTCCTGGCCTCTAGCCGTATTACACCGGCAGTTGGATACTCTAGAAGTAGCATAAATACCAATTAATGATTCAGTTATATATATGAAGCTTGGATGTAGTCAATCACTCTTTCTTCGGCATCTTCGTACGACAATCTTGCCTTTCCATCGTTTTCATCTTTTGTTGAAAATAGATGTTTCACAACTGTTGAACTCGAGTTGCTCTTGACTTTCTGAGGAGACACATCTCCCTTTCCTCCACCGGAAGAAGAACGTCCCATAGTCAATGAATCACTCACTCCTTTGTAAAAAAGGCAGTGCTGTTCTTGACGTAAATTTGTTTTGTTGCCTTTTGTGATTGAATGTTAGAATAAAGCAAAATGTGCTCTATCGAGAGTGCCTTTAGCGCTCAGAACAAACTCTCTGCAATCTAAATTCGTAATCGACTGTACACTTTCACGACAATAGTTCTCCTGTGTCTAGGTATACTTTGAGTGAAATTGTTCCTATTTGATTAATGTTTGGCTTGAATTGATGATTCAATCACAAAAGTGAGTTCAACGATTTTCGCTTGGAAAATCCCTTGTTTACAGAACTCGATTTGACTTCTATGACAATTCTGTATTGATTGCAGTACTTTGGAATATCTTGCATTATTTCCTACTGCATCGTACACAACATCAATATTCCACTTGTACAGGATCTTTTCCTGTTTGTGTGGATACAGATTGTCCGACAGATTTGCGTCCGGCATACTTGCGTTGAATCTCGACATCACGCACGATCAAAGTCCGATCGCATGTGTCGAAAACCTCGTACTTGAATAGTTTCTTTTGGAACGTAAAAACTCATATTTCGTCATATCCCAACACACTCCTGCCATTGTGACAATCACCATTGGCAGCAATGGGACATGCTCTCATTCA